GTGAGCTGAAACGCGATTAATCGCCGATTTTTAATGATATTTTTAGCGATTATTACGATAAATCGCGATTTATTCCCCGATTACTTTAAACATTATTCATTGCTTTATCGCCAATCTGATCTAATATTATCGCAATTTCTAAGATATTTTATTTATTTTTGATAAATTGCTTCGATTTTTTCAATTAACTTTTATTTAAAAAAATATCTATTGCTTTCATCACACCTGACGGTAAAGTAAATAAAGGATATAAAGAAAAAAAAATTGCAGTAGTTGATTATTCGATTTTCATAAATTTTGCTTATGAATTTTGACAAAGAAAATACAAAACTGTTAGAATTTACATATAATAGCATGCATGTAAGAAAAAAATACATCTAAAAGTTATAGATAACTATTAAAAAACTGAGTTGTAACATACCATAGCGTTAGATCTAAGTTGGTTGGATTAGACATAAAACATTATAATGAAAAAATCATATTTAGGTAAACCGGAATCAGGAGATAAATTAAACAGGTCGTCATCCTAATCACCATTCGATATGTATGTATTTGTAACACAAATTAAAGTAATCCGAGTTTAAGAATTCATCTTATTTACACTTTGTATCTTCATGAGTATTTTTGGATGTTTCTCTTTGATACTCATAAATAAATTATCATCAGATGACATAACATAAGAATCAATATTTTAAAATATATCTAACGACGCTTTTTGTCTTTTTGGGACGTTATTGCTGCTGTTGACTGGCTCGAACTTTATACAATACTTGAGGATAAAAAATCTGAAATATATTTGAAAAAAAATAGAGCAAATATTATAAATAACTGAGTACGATACTGCAACGACATACATTGCTGTAACTTAAAGAAATCTTAGATTTCCTTAGTTTACATATTCACCATCAAGATATTATTATAGGGAGTCACAATAAGGTTTATATATATATAGATTTACAATTTAACTTCAAACGATAATCCAATTACAATGTGATAAAAAGAACAAAAAGTAAAAAAGGCACTCTTGTGCAATAACATTAGTGGATATTGTCTTTTCTTCTTTTTATCACATTGTAATTGGATTATTCTTTGATGTTACAAAGTTGTAAATATATGAATATATAAATCGTATTGTGTCTTCCTATCATCATTTCCTGATGATGAGAATTCGAATTTAAGGGAATCTCAACAAAAAAAACTTCATTAAAAATTACAAAAAAAGCTTTTCCTTTGCAATATCATACTCTGTGATTTCTAAATAGAGCAAATAGCGATGGATAGATAATGATACAATAGGAATTTAGGCTATTTCTGAAGTCAAATAATGGTCAATGTTTTTCTTAGAACTGCCATGCTACCTTTGTTTCATATTATCAACAGTGTTACAAATCGTTTGAGACGAAGTCATAACATCTTATTAGAAGAGAATGTTTTCAAAATGCTCTAAAGAACGGAGCACAATCAATATCTGGTGGCATGGAATACTGTGCATCATCAACAAGCTCCATGATATATAATGAGGCAGTGGACATTTTATAATTTATCTTCCTACAAAGTAAACCAATATTTTTACTTACCACAACCAAATTTGAGAACTAGTGTAAACTAATGATAATAAGGTTTCGTATATAAAAAAATGAGTATAACACATTTTGGTTTGATTGGTTATAATTTTTGTTGACTTTACGATTTATTGTGGTCTTTTAAGAATAGAAGTTTATTTGTTGTAAATGATCCATACATAAATAAAGATCGAAAGCACAAACCATAGGAAAAAAAAAGATAACAGCAACAAATATAATCAGTGTGGCAATGACAATCGAAAACAAAATAAAGTGATACCTCTTAGACCGAATTTCCTAGAAGATAAATGAAAAAATGTGCACTAGAGACAACCAAAATCACTCCCTCTAAAAGTTAGCCAAAGTATAATTATTATAAGCTCTGCATTTAAATCCATCAATAATCATTAAATCGCCAGTAACAACTTAATTATATGTCAAGGAAAGAATTGATATATACATGTATACGTTAAATTAGAATAAGTATCCTATGTAAGTCGAATTGAATACTCAGAGACTGTTTGTTAAGAGTACAAAAAAATGATTAAAAGATTGATCTTAATCGTAATTGCAAAAGCAATGAAAATATATCCTAGTAACATCAAATACAATAATTAGTTTGTTTTCGTTGTTCACTAGTTACACTACTAAAGCGGGAGTCTAGTATGTTGAATTTATATTTTTTACAAATCTATGTCAAAATTTTTATTTTGTAACAATACATTTACACTCAGCTATTAAAAAATTCTCGATTAATCGTGATTAATCATTCTGATTTTCAGCGATTACGATTAATCGATTTTCGTTTCAATATCGCGATGAAATCTGATTTTATCGCTGATTTTTCAACAT